GTACTGACACAGAGAAAGCCATTTTCAGAATAATATAGACACTGAGATCAGTTAAGCTCTGGGAAGGCTTAGCCAAAGGACTTTCTGTGGATAGCTGCTTTGGTGCTCAGGGCACAGCTCTTAAGTTAGATTTCTCAAGCAGAACTTTTAAGCGTTTTGGAGCGCAAAAAAAAATGTTGTTTCAAATGCGCTGCTCTCTTGTTGTACTCTGGGGGAATCTGGCAGGTGTTGCTGGAGTTCAGAATGCAGAAGGAACTAAAGGTTAGCCCTTCAATTCAAAGAGCAAGAAGACCAACAGCTCGTCTCTTAGTGTCCCATCTAATCAGCAAGGTTTCTTTTTTTTTCTCACCTTCTGACCCATCTCTCATCAGTTCAGAAGTTTATCAGCGAAGATCGCCTGCCTCACCTTCTCTTCTATGGACCACCGGGGACGGGCAAGACCTCCACAATTCTGGCCTGTGCTAAACAGCTCTACAAAAACAAAGAATTCAACTCCATGGTTTTAGAGGTAAATCACAGTGTCCTGCTGGTGTTATTTCTCCAGCTCCCATAAACTGCTGCCGGTCTGGGGAGAGGTTAGGATTAGCCAGGGTTACAGTTTGCATCCTGGAGTGCTGCTTCACCATAAACAGATACTGCTAAAGATCAGCCTCCTTTTGCCTCTCTAGGTACTAAGACCTGCATGCATGCTGCAGTTGTAAGCCAGGGTACTCAAGAAAGTTGACCTGGTATAATCTAGATCAGTCCAAGTCCTCTGTGTGGACGCTCTTGTTTTAGTTTGAGGGGCTTGTGTCCATTTAGCTTACACTGTTCCCAAGTACTATTATTAATGACAGCAATAGCATTATGTAGTTTTTAATCTAGCACTCTACATCACTAGATCTCAGTAAACTTAAGCTGTTCTTCAGCCCAAATGAGTGTTCATGCAATGGCTTGCGGTAGTTTAATTAAATCTAATTAATGGTCATGTTTCACCAGTGCAGCTTTCAGATGTAGACAAGCTCTTACTGAATAGAGGTGCGTTAATAGTGCATTTCAAATGCCAGCTCCTGCTCTCTCCTAGCTGAATGCTTCAGATGACAGAGGAATTGATGTAGTCAGAGGTCCTATCCTGAGTTTTGCCAGTACAAGGACAATCTTTAAGTAAGTACCTTAAGGGGTTTGTATCCCTCTCTTCCCAACAGGTGGTTCCTTCCTTTATTGACACTTTGCTCCTTTCTTCTCCCCGACATGTACCAAGTCACATGGAGTCCACAGAACACAAAGCATGACTCTGAAATACCACTCTTGGGCTAAAAAGAGGTGGTCAAGTTTAGGGGGGAAACACAGGAACAGAATGAGGTGGGCAGCAACTGGACAGGAGAGGTGTGGAAAGTGTTCTCTGCAGGATAGGAAAGGAGGACATACAGTCTTCTGGGAAGTAAAAAAGAAAGCTGGTGCCGTCTTTGTATGTGTTGTAACACAAAGAAGAGGAGTGTGTACCCACAGCTCCAGTATGGTATGCAGTTTTGGGCGCTTTGCTATAGACCACTGTTTCTCAACCTTTGGGGTACTCGAGAGACGTTGGGGGTGGGTTGTCAACACAACTGAAATTCGGAGAAAACTGAAGTTTTAAGTTTTAGTGCGCTTTATTATTTTTGTGCTTTTTACACCCAAAAATTTCAGTGCCTGCCTAGCTATGATTAAGTTATTTAAACAAACATGTTGCAATGGTAGAAGAAAATGTTGTGTGTCTGAAAACTAGGTACTGGGGGTACTTATACATGGTTTGTTTGGTTTTTTTGTAAGGGGCGTATTTTATAAAAAAAAAAAAAGTTGAGACACTGCTATAGATGAGCAGTTCTCAAGCCTTTGTACTGGTGATTCCCTTTCACGTAGAAAGTCTCTGAGTGCGACCTCCCCTTTTATAAATTGAAAACACTTTTTCCATCTATTTAACATCATAAATGCTGGAGGCAAAGCAGGGTTTGGGTGAGTCAAGGCCTAATAGACTCAGGAGTAGCCCCTGAGGGGTAGTGCATGCTTTTGGGGAGCCCCATCCTGGGCCTGATTATCCGAGATGAGAAAACCTCAGCTCCTGCCCAAGTCTGTGCGACCTCCCCTTTTATAAATTGAAAACACTTTTTCCATCTATTTAACATCATAAATGCTGGAGGCAAAGCAGGGTTTGGGTGAGTCAAGGCCTAATAGACTCAGGAGTAGCCCCTGAGGGGTAGTGCATGCTTTTGGGGAGCCCCATCCTGGGCCTGATTATCCGAGATGAGAAAACCTCAGCTCCTGCCCAAGTCT